ACAGGGCACGGCATACAAGAAGTCTAGAACAAATAAACAGAAGCTGATAAATACTTTGTACGTAATAAAAACATGTTTTCTGTGCTAGAACTACTTGGCAGAGGTATTGTGTGTAAGTAAGTAAGTTTTATTTCACCAGGACATCACACAAAGCGATAAACACCCTATGACACAAAGTGCCATCATTCGGATGAGGATCACCCGTGGAGTGGTCCCAGAAACCCTGTTTAACCGTTAAGTTATATTGCGGCCCACTGACAACAACCAGGATGGGGCTTCAAAATAACGAAAAATTTCATCCCACAAGGGGACGGGATACTTAGGTATCGTCTGATCTCTCATAAGATTACCTGCATTACTTAACTAGATGTGATTGATTGAGTAGACACATATTATGAATATAAACTGGTAGACACACAGAGGTCAGACAATCAGACGGGTAGATAGAAATGTGTATGGGTGGGTCGTTTAGCAGGCAATAAAGTGGATAAATAGAAAAGCATCTTGATGGATATTTGGACAACAAATAATACGTGGACATGGATACTGAAGATAATGGATAGCGAGATGGACACAAACATTGACGTCTGAAGATAGTGGATACGGAGTTGGATACATAAAAATGACAACCTGAAGATTGTGGTTAGCGGGATGGATACATAAACATGGCTAGCTGAATATAGTGGATAGCGAGATGGATACATAAACATGGACACCTAAAGATAGTGGATAGCATGATGGACACATACACATGGACACGTAAAGATAGTGGATAACGAGATGGACAAATGAACATGGACACCTAAAGATAGTGGATAACGAGTTGGATACATAAACATGGATACCGAAAGATTTGATACCTGAAGATAGTGGATAACTAGTTGGATACATAAACATGGATACCTGAAGATAGTTGATAACTAGAGTGACCAGGGAATCTAAACGACGATGAACACCCAGTAGACAATACACAGTCAACCCGTTACAGGCATCATCGGATCTGGAACTCTGCGCTTGCTGCTGAGGATGGGGACACACCACTCCACTTATAGTATTGCTCTTAACTAACTTGTTACATTTTCGTAAATATGGACATTTGAAGACATGGGTATCTAAATGGACACTTTCTAACGTTAACTTAAGAGTATTTTAACAATCATGTCGGTAGATAGGCAGAAAAATGTATGGGTAAACGGGAAATAAAACAGATAACAAGACAAGTATACAATTTCTGGACTTTTAGACTGAAAAAAAAAAAAGAGATGCATAAAGATGTCTAGATAATTATGTTGATAGAGAGGAAACCATACATATCTATTAGGATAATTCTTTTATTACTTACTTTACTTTTACGTTTTCCTTCCACGTATGCCGCTAAGCGTTGTGGGGAGATGCAAGTTCCTGTCATAAGCAAGGCGGGCAGCATCTGATGTTCTGAGGCCATGCTTTTGGCAGGTTTCGGAGACCCCGTCAATCCACAGTTTCCTTGGTCTTCCTCTTGCCTTATATCCTGAGCTTCTTTGGTTGAAAATTTGTGATGTTATTTGGTCATTTTTCATCCTGGTTAGATGTCCAAACCATTTCATTCTTTGATGTTCTATGTAGTCTAAACATGGTGTAGTTTTGACAGTGTTTAATGTCCTATGTTCTTTATCCTGTCTAGTCTGGTCTTATTCTCTGCTTTTCTTAGACATTTCATTTCACAGGCTTCTATTTTTCTTTCATGGGTCTTGTTGATTGTCCATGTCTGGCACTGGTAGCAGAGTGTTGGAATGAAGATGGTGTTTATCAATTGTCTTTTGGTCTTCATGGTTATATCTGTATGTTTAAGCAGAGGTGATAGTTGGTATGTGACAGCATTTGCTTTCTGTATTCTTGTTTCTATCTCTCTGTCCATTCTTCCATCCTCTGTAAATATACTGCCCAAGTATTTGAACTCTTTGGTTTGCTTGATTTTGGCACTTCCAACATTTATATTCAGTGGCCTGTGTGTTCTTTTATTAAATTGGCAAATATAAAAATATGAGGACAGTTAGATTGATTGATAGACAAACATAAAGACATTCAGACAATTAGACTGATAGATATGCAAACATACAGATATTAGGGCACTTAGACCGATAGATATGCAAATATACATATATTAGGACAGTAGAGGGAAAGAGGAGAAGAGGCAGACCAAGAAAGACCTGGTTACAGAACCTGACTGACTGGACAGGCCTCAGGCTTGCAACCATGAAGTCCATCGCAACTGACCGCCAAAGGTGGAGAGAGCTGATCAGACAGTCAACAGAAACTGGTGACCCAACGACACGTAGTGTTACGGAATGATAATGATGATGATGATGATCATGAGGACACTTAGACTGATAGATCATCATCATTATCGATCACCCTGGCGTGCCGTTAAACGTCACAAAGGGCTTGAGGTCAAGTTACACGATCTATCCCATGGTGTGTAATCCTCTCGATATCATGGAGGGAATCAAATCCAGCACCT